CCTGAGCAGAACAGGGAGCAGTCGAGGGGACCCGGAGGACACGCCGGGTGGTGGGCAGGGGCGGAGCCGGAGGACATGCCAGACGGTGACGGGGGGACCCGGAGGACATGCTGGGTGGGCAGGGGGACCCGGAGGACAAGCCAGGTGGTCGGGGGCCTAGACGGGGTGATATTTGAGGGAAACTTGGTGGGTGGAGCTGCTTTCTGACTGCTTGGCAGGATGTCTTGAGGCCCACAGAACATGGTGGCACATGACGTTCCCATGAGGCCTCCTCACTCCCCGTATCATTCCTGTGTGTGCATCGCTGTCCGCGCCAAAACGTGTTCAAACAGTGGGTTTCAAGTGAACTTTCACCTTGTAAATCGCAATTGAAATTAACACACACACACCACAGTGGCTTTCGAGGACAGGTGGTACTTCGACCCCTCTCCCTCCTGGCCGGGCACACAGAGGGCACCTTGTGGACACTGTGTCTGCAGTGCTGGCAGCCAGGGTTTGCACCCGCGTGGAGAAGCTGCTGAGAGCTCAGGGGCCCGAGCACTGCCGTCGTGACTCCCGACCCTTCATCAAGTCCTTGTTCCCGTGAATCACAAGAGCTCTCCAGACAACAGGTCAAAAGGAGGGGCTCTGCTGAGCCGTCAGAGGTGCCCCAGGATGACAGCTGAGAGGGCTGTACCTGTGTCACCTGGAAGGAGCCACGGGGCACCCACCACAGCAGGCCGCGTCGCGCCTGACTCTAGCCCACGACGCCTTCCGCCAGCTTCCCCCGAGGCAGCTGGCAATGTTCTAGGGCTGAGGCCCTTCCTCCCCAGTGAAGTCACGGGCACTGTCCCCCACAGGTCCCTACCTTCTGTGCATCCTGCGGCGTGTGTGGCAGCAGGGCCTCTGACCTTGGGCACCCCCACCTCACAGAGGGGGTTAGCACTGATTTTAGGGGCTGTGCCTTGCGCTCAGGTACCACACTGCACTCTCCGCAGCCCTTGTTTCTGCAGGATTCCCGCTCCCTCTAGTTCCCCACCCTTCCCTCCAGCCCCTCCCTTGAAGCACCACGTGGATCCTAACCTCACTGGGCTCCTCTGCCAACGGGGCAATGCTGCCCACCCTGCAGGGCCCCGCAGCTGCTGGAGCATGTCCTCAGTAGCCTCAGCTTCCCACCCCACCCGAGTCTCAGCTTAGAGCTCCTGCGAGGCTCTCATCAGCACTGGTCCCATCACTTCCCGGGGAGCTGCCTCCTGTCCCCATGCTGTCACTCCTGGGGGCCCCACCTCCGGTCCCCACACCGTCACTCCCAGGGGGCCTGCCTCGGGTCCCCACGCCATCACTCCCGGGGGGGCCTGCCTCCAGTCCCCACATCATCACTCCCGGGGGGGTACGCCTCCAGTCCCCACACCATCACTCCCGGGGGCCCCACCTCCGGTCCCCACATCATCACTCCCGGGGGGCCTGCCTCGGGTCCCCACGCCATCACTCCTAGGGGGCCTGCCTCCAGTTCCTATGTCTTCATTCCTGGAGGTCCGCCTCCAGTCTCCATGCCTAGGTTTCAGTTCTTGCCCAACACTGGCCCACCTTCTGGTCCTGGGACTTGTCTTGTCCCTGCAAAGGCTCCCCTTGTAATCGTCTGTTCACAGAGATCACTTGAGCTGCCCACCTCCATTCCGCGTGTTCAAAGTGCCAACTAAAGCATGGAAACCAAAAAACAAACTCACTGCCAGTGAGTAGAATGCGACTCACAACAACCCTTGGGTTTCCAAAGTGGTATCTCTACAGAACTAGACTGCCCCATCTTCCTTGTGAGGAGTGGGTAGTGGGTTTGAACCATGAGACTTCTGGTTAGCAGTCAAGTGCCTCAGGCACTATACCAATGGAAACCCAGGAATGGTGATTCACAGATCCGGACCCCAAAGGCTGCACATAGAAAACGCTGTGTCTTGGCTCAGATGGTCTCGATTCCCTGCCTGTGCAGCCACAAGGCCCCATGTACTTGTTCGTGTGCCCTGCCGGCGTGCCAATGTCACAGGACCCCACCCTGAGAGCATGCCATCTCCTGGGCAGACACTTGCTGGCTCTCCCGCGAAGTCCCAGGAAAGGGCAGGAACCTGATCCCTGGCGTGAGCAGCCAGGCCGCCCCCCTGACTGGTCCCCCCTGTACTCCGGTCAGAGCTGGGACAGACGGATGTCACTGCTAGGAGAGCTGCCATCCACAGGCCCTGCAGGGTCATCGTCTCTGGGACTGCTAGCAAATGTTCCCTGCCGGCCACCAGCCTGCACTGAGAACCCCAAGGACACAGGCAGACTGAGGCTGCAGGGGGAGGGGCGCTGAGCGAGACCTCTGAGCTTGGGGAGCCTACAGGTGCAGGTAGGCCACCAAGTGGGGAGTCATCCTGTGATCGGCTGGAGCGGCACTTGATCCTGCAGACTCCGTCCTCCTTCCACCTTGCCCCGCCCCTCCTTGGTGCATCTACCCCCTGCTTTGGAATCCAGGTTTACCTTCAGGACCCGCCACCCTTCCCTCACTCACTGGACTGTGAGGTGCTTGGATCCCATCTCTGTACCTGGTACCTCAGCACCAACCCCACTGCATCCCACCCAAATAAGTGCGCCCACAAAACCACCTCAACAGAGCCAAGCCACCACAGCCTAACCAAACACCTGAACACCCCTCCAGCCGAGCAGAGAGGGCATGGCTCCCCACAATGGCTGAGACAAGTTCCTGTGACACCTCAGAACTCAAAGGAGAAAACAAAAGTGGGTCTCAACTGGACAATCTTCTGAACAGCAGAAAATTGGAGCATTGCGCTGTCTGCAGAAAAAACATGATTCTTTATCTGGCATTTAGAGCAATGGTACTAACATAGCTGAGGGGCGGTGACGAAATGACAGATGAACTTTGTCACCCAGCTTGTCTTTGCCGAGCGTGGCCAATACTATGGGCTTGGTGAGGAAACAGAGAGAGGGCAGGGGTGACTCCACAGGACCCCTGGACGGAGGAGCCGTTTGACCCTGGACCTGCCACACAGGTGCCCTGTGACCGGGGGACCACACATGCTCCTGGGGTCAGTGTCCACATCAATGCCGCTGGCCCACAGCCACTCAGTACTAACACATGTAAGGTGCCCGCACTTGGTGACCGTCCCAAGATGGCAGCAGGACCATCGCTGCTTGCAGCCGCCTGGCCCATAAAGGCTGCACCCTCAGTTCTGCTTGCCCTGCCCCCCTGAAAGTGTAACCTGAGTTGTTCCAGGGATGAGGGAGTGCAGGGACTGAGTACAATGTCACAGACAGTGCCCTTCGAGGGCACAGCCTGAAAACAAAAATGAGAAATTCTACAACCTGCAGCAGCCAGCCACAATAAACTACCCAGCAGGTTCCCTGCGGCCTCCCTGGGGATGGGCAAACGGTCCATCCGGCATCACGTCCTGCCTGCCCCGCCCAGCTGGGCCCACTGTGCATGTTGACAGTCTCCCGCGGGCCCAGCTTCTCCATGGCTGCAGGAACTCAGGCTCCTCCCAAGGCCATGCCAGACCAGAGCTCCTGGGGAACCCAGTGGTCACAGCTCCACATCTAGCCACCCACCCCCACCTTTGAGTACTAAAGTCCCTTTCATGTGCCTGGTGGCCACCCACTCAGCAGCTCCGCGGACGAAAGGCCTGGTAATCTGCCCTGTGAAGATGACAGCTAAGAAAACCCTTTGGGGCAGGTCTCCCGTCACATGGAGTCACCATGAGCTGGAATTGACTCTTTGGCACCCAACAGCAACAGTACCGTGTACCACACCATGCATGGGGTGCCAGCAACACAGAGCCAGAGCCATCCCTGCCCTCATAAAGCTGCCAAAAGCACTGGTGCACACTGGGGGCATGGCCCACACACGCCGCCTGAGCAACAAGGAGGCAGCCATCTCACCAAGAGAATGAGACCTCCATGACCAGGCAGAGACTGTCCACCCTGAGTGTCACGGTCAGTGTCTAGTGCTGACCACTGCCTGTTTTCCATGCACATCTAACCACCGCTCACCCCACCCACTGCAGAAACCGACCACACCCCCAGGGCAGAGTCAGGAGGTTCAGAGTCAGCTGGGCAACGGGAGGGCAGCCCCCAACCCTGGCCTTCATCCACTCCCAGGACAAGCAGGAATGGAAACGCTCCATTGGAATGGGGGTGCGCACGGCAAGGGCACCCTCACCTGCCTGCATCCTGACAGCACCTGAGCCGTCCCACCCTAGGTCACTGCTGTCTGTGTCATTCATGCTGTGTCCCCGGGCAGAGGACAGGGCCTGGCACACAATGTGTGTTCCACATCTTTACTGAGAGAACCGTTCCTTCCTGGGGTCTCGGTCACCTATGTGCTTATATTCATCCCAAATCCCTGTCAGCTGCTTCCGGGCAGGGCATGTCTCATGACCCAGCATCAGGCCTCAGCCCCCATTCAGTCAGCAGTCTCTGCTGGGGGCTCTCCGGCAGCCACGTGGAGAACAGTTCAAAGACAACAGGAGGCTGATGCCCTCATCCTTGCTCACAACTCACCAGATGCTCCATTTGGGGTTGAAAGAATGAATTAATGGCTGTATTTAGAAACTCTGGCCTCCCAGGAGTTATGACTGAGTACAGCAGGCCACATACACACACGCACGCCACTAGCCACGCCGCGGCTTCTATGTGTGCAGGCGTCCTACAGAGTCCGTCCAGCTCTGCACACACGGAGGGTGGCCAACATGGCGGCCAGGTGGAGAAGAAACGGACAGTCCCTGCTGCAGCACAGTCTGGTGTTGGACTTTCCCGCCTCTGAGGCCCCCTGGCCCGGCTGCCTTGAAGCCACCTGCCTGTCCCTCTGACGGCAACGGGGGATTCTCGGAGGAGAGACTAAGGCTCGTCTTGGGGCTGTGGCAGGTGCCCAATCCACCTTTGTGGAAGGAGGTGACAGGGCAGCGGCATCTTCCAGTGTCACCCAGAGAACTGGTCTAGAAGGATGGGAGGACCCTGTGCAGACAGACCCCAGATACGTGTAGAGATGTTCTCATAGGACAAGGCATCGCTGATGGTCTCTGGCAGCCGAGAGGGGTCAGATGAGGCCACGCCACAGAGGAAGGAGCCCGACTCAGCAGGCTGGAATCGCCCATAGGGAAAGGACCGAGAATATTCAGAGTCATGGGCACTGCCATCCACCAGCTGAGCTAACGTTCCCGCAACAGTCACTGAGCGTGATTTACATCCTCATCATCCCCCAGGACACTCCCCCCCACAGAGGCTCTCTGCGCCCACAAGAGCGTTCAGGGCAGGGCAGGTCCAGGCTGGTTTCCTCCACGAAGACAGAGCTCTTTTGACACATGCTGTTCAGAGCTGAGCCGGCTGCCTGCCCTGGGGTCTCGGATGAGGCAAACTCGGCCCAGATCTTGAAATCAGCAGGGTCTGCCCTCCCAGCCTGGGCCCCAAGGAGCCCTCCAGAGATGAGCGTCAGCCCTCAGTCCTTATGGGGACAGACACACCAGTGCCATGACTTTCTGGAGTTACTAAGGACAGAGAGGGGCCAGGCTTCCCTAGGAAGGGGTGGTGAGACCAGACAAGCCCACAGCCACAGTCAAGTGCCTCACATACCACACCCAGAGCCACCAAGAAGACCCAGACTGGGGTGTGATGCAGACGCTACAGACTGCACAAGCCCATGGCCACAGCCCAGCACCCTGCACACCACGCCCAGGCCACTGAGAAGACCCAGATCGAGGTCAAGCCAGAGGCTGCAGTGGGAGGGCCCACGGGACCCTGGGGTGA